ATGATGACTATAGAGAGAGGGACAGAGTCACTATATAAGGGGAGGCACTGTGAAGACTGTATCCCATGATGACTATAGAGAGAGGGACAGAGTCACTATATAAGGGGAGGCACTGTGAAGACTGTATCCCATGATGACTATAGAGAGAGGGACAGAGTCACTATATAAGGGGAGGCACTGAGTCCAAATACCGATGCTTTTTCTGGCACATTCCCCCTTACTTCCGCTTACCAGCACCGTGTCACTGGCAGCTATGTGGAAACATCACTGGGTTATGCTTGCTGTCACTGTATATACAGGGTAAACAGTCGATCTCAGCCCTGACAAGGATGGGTGTCAGGTTCCAGCTGCTGTTGGAGTGACATGTCACATTGAAGCGGGCGGCCCAGAGGAACACAGAAAGTAGATGGATGTATTTGCATCAGAGAGATGGCCTTTTTCTGATGGTCGGGTGGACCCGCGGCACAGCACGTCACACACTGATAGTGCTGTAAGCGCCGATACCGGCTAGGAATAGGGCTGAACCTGGCCCTGCCTGTTTTAGCTTCTTCCTCATGATCGGGAGCCGAGACCGGGACTAGGACCTTGACTACAAGATGCTGACACAGTATATAAAACACAACAGTGACAGGGGCATCCCGGTTAAAATTATTAGTAGCTGCAATGCTGACAAATCCCACAGCATAGCATCCAAACACTGAAGGAGAACGGCAGCACTATACAGTGTGTGGCCAGCTGGGTAGCTGTATTTTGCTCTACTTTTACTACCTTAAAACTTTTAATTATTCTCCTCTTTGTGCTCCTGCCTTTTCCCACACTTATTTCAAATTATATATCATTGGCTGTGTTTCTGTCAGTCCGTGACATTCCTGTTGTTAGATTAACATTCACTTGTTGCCAAGTCCTTTGTTGAGTTTGGGGTTAGCTGGGAGCGATGCTATACTGAGCTGAGACGTGCCTTTAATAGGGTGGGGGGAGGGCCACAGTAAACAAGCAGAAGTGTGGCCCATTTTCACAGTGAGGTGAAGCAGAAGGAACATTAGAAATGTTAAAGTCTGATAATGAAATAAAAAACCGCAGCCCTTCATACCTACTGTTCAGGCGTATTTTGGGTATCAGGGAATGTGGCTGTTTTATGCTGTAGCTGTACAGGCCTGTTGGCACATGCAGGCAAATATCCTTGAAAATGTCCCGATGTTGGGGGCCCACCCAGAGGGTGTGTGTGACCCCCGCCAGTCCTCTTGTTACGGTTTGTGTAAGCCCAGTTCTCGCACCACAGAACCGGTTTTCCTTAGAGTATGAGGTTGTGCCAACTGCTTCTCGCAGACACACACGCACAATCGTGCATGCACACACACAGCAAGAGGGAGATGACTAATTGTCACACGTTCCCACCTCAAACTTGCGAACAGAGCTAGAGCATCCGTGTGGCAGAAGCTGGCTCCCGATAGCCTTGAACGTGGACGGAGGTGCCTGTCGGCGGTGGACAGCCCCGGCCGTGCCGTCTATTTGCTTGCCGTGTTTGTTGCGTAGCGACGGCACCTCTCCAGGTTCCAGGCGGAACCTGTGTATCAGGCGCGTGTGTCTGGGGGCATGAAATGCGATCCACCAAGGACCAGTCTAAAGGTACTGCTTAGAGTGTTCGAATGAAAACAAGGTCTGTGACCTCTGCATGCCAGCTCTTCCACCAGTGTCCAAACACACATGGGACGTTCTCATGCTATCTTCTTCGGCGTGTCTGACGTCGTGAGATTCTCCAGAAAGCAGCCCGCATGACGATATCTTCAGGATTGTGCTATAAACACGAATACGTAAGCGGAGCTTGGAGATGCTGCCCAGCGCTTTGGCGCAGCGTCCGGCGTATTGATTTGCTGAAAACTGAGTGAGTCACCACCACCCTCTTTGCTCCACTACAGGCGTGTAACGAGTTCACCACCCACGTGATGAACCTGCTGCGGGAGCAGTCGCGCACGCGGCCCATCTCGCCCAAGGAGATCGAGCGCATGGTGAGCATCATCCACCGCAAGTTCAGCTCCATCCAGATGCAGCTGAAGCAGAGCACCTGCGAGGCCGTCATGATCCTGCGCTCACGCTTCTTGGACGCCAGGTCTGTCAGTCTGTCCAGTCTCTGCCTGTCTGATCTCGTCCCCCCCAAAAGCCCTGTGGAAACCCCCCCATCTGCCTCCTGTTAGATGCATATTGACATATAAACCATCCTAAAGCAGTGTCACATAATGAACTCGCTAATTTAAGTTATTTTGTTTAAAAAAAAAAAATCTAATTAGGAAGTAGCTTGCTCTGCATTCTACAATTGCTTTCCTTTTTGGACAATAATTCGAAAAGTTGCTTTATTGTGTGTTCTCGTCAGAAAATGGCTATGGAGGGAGGGGCAAGGGGGTGAAGAGGAACTTCAGCTTACGAGATCTTGGGTGGTGTTATACTGCTCACCGTATTTCAACATACAAGGTCTCCGGGTTTGAATAGATGGCTGTTTCATATTCATCCTGGTCTCTACATGTGTTGTTTTTTTTAACCTTTACCCACCATCGTAGGAGGAAGAGACGGAACTTCAACAAGCAGGCGACAGAGATCCTTAATGAGTACTTCTACTCGCACCTCAGCAACCCCTACCCCAGCGAGGAGGCCAAAGAGGAGCTGGCCAAAAAATGCTCCATCACAGTGTCACAGGTACACCATGCGGACCCTCTCTGCAGTGAATGGGAATCACCGTGGTGCTACAAGTATACCCTCCCCAACCCTAATCCCCAAGTGAAACAGCACGTACCCTGATGTCAGACAGATTTGGAATATTATACCAAAATATACCATTATACAGTATATACCATACAACTATATTGCACATAGCTGTACAGCTTATCAAATAAGGGGAAATAATGAATACATTTTAAAGGAATTAGGGGTATTTAGTATGGATAGGTTTGGGGTTTCTGAGCTTGTAGGCAGAACTCACAGTAATAGTGGTTTCTGTCATTTTCAGATGTTTTAAATCAATATTCTGAAATTCCTTTCAGCAAATAAGCTTTACTAATTTTAAGAAGCATAATGGTAACTTCCAAATACCGTTATCACAGCAGGAAGTGGTTTATGTTAGAGGTACAGCCCTTAAAAGTCAGGCTTACATGAAGGTGATTGCCCACCTGCACCAACATCCTGTTGGGTTCTTCTCTTCTCTCAGTGCTAAATCAAGAAGTCCATCAATAACCTCGGCTAATCTAGAACGTGAGCGATGGCAGCTTGTCCGTCTCTCTGTTGATGATCATGCCAGGTTCCAATCCATCATGAGACCCCCCCACATTGGTCTGATCGACAGGGACCTTGTGCTCAGTTTCACGCCATCAACTGTCACCTGCCTTGAATTCTAACCCAAACCCTGGCTCCGTCTGGCCCAGCCGTTGCCACCAGATTAGATTTGTATCGAGCCTGAGAATCCATTATGGTCCTAGAGCCTGTCCTCACTCTCTATCATTTCATGTAGTGCATGTCAAGGTCACTTATGGCTGTTTTTTAAAAACAACAACAAGTAATCAGACCCTTATAAATATCTAGAAACATGTCTAAAAATGCTTAATTGGAATCCTGTGGTAAGGTCCGTTGACTAAGTGCACGCGCGCACACACAGACACACGCACATGCTTGACCTACGCGGGCGGCCCCCACTCAGCAGGTGGGTGAAAGGTTGGTCTCCTCCAGCTGTACCGGACGAGGCGTTGGGGTGCCCTTGAGTGCAGCCTCACTGACAGTACTGCTGGAGCGTCTGGGCCGTGTGGGGGCAGCAGGCGGCACAGGCTGCTTCCTGAACCCCCTGCTGTGCCCACAGGGGAGATTGCCATCGAGTCACAGTTCCCAGCACTAAAGGCTGAAACTGACCCTGAAGAAAGTCTCTCTCTGTGTTGCCCCAAAAGTTCAGAGGTTTGATGGTCATCATCCTGGATGAATGGAGATTCCATCCCACCTCTACTGTATAGCCCTATATCCAAGTTGTTGAAATGAGGAAACAGAACCTGGTCCTGGCTGAAGGAAATTGCGTAACGGAAACACTGGCTGTCTTCCACTCTGGCTAATAAGAGCTGTACTGGTTTCTCTCCTTCCTAACGAACGAACCCCCTTCCTTAGGTATCTAACTGGTTTGGAAACAAGAGAATTCGATACAAGAAAAACATTGGAAAATTCCAGGAAGAGGCTAACATGTATGCTGCCAAGACGGCCGTCAATGCAGCCAACGCGTCCGCCCACGGTAGCCAAGCCAACTCCCCATCCACTCCAAATTCGGCAGGTGAGGCATGGCGTCCAGCACATCCTATTTAATGCGTACACATTCCTGGGGATCCCTGAGCCCAAGAGCGGCAAATGAATCTGTCAGACATACTGCACACCGCAGATATAAGCATTTGTAAATGGACGTCTTTGAAACCGACATTTTGTTCTGAGTGTCCTCATACGGCTGTTAGAAATAAATAGCTCACACCTGGTTTGATCAAGCAAAATAGGCCACTGTAGGCTAGCATAGAGAAGCACAGCTGTTTACGCTGCACGCAGTGCAGAATCGGGCGAGTAAAGCACCACTGCACCACTGCAGACTGACCACACCTTAAGACGACACCAGTGCTGAAGAGGGCAAGCGGAGCCAAAAGCTGGAGTCACAGCTGGAGACACCAAGTATTATGATGTGCCAACATGATATGTGTCTTATCCTAATAGAGGAGCTACAGACACAGCATTTGGGTTTAACATTAGCTAACCTGGGCCCCTTTTCCAGTGACGAGTCTCCTAGTCCCCTCCTTTAAGTACTAGCCTCCTCCTTTTCCTCACTAACTTGCCTCTACAGAGCCATCCTCCCGTCTTGCTGTTGCGTGATTTGCTTTCTGTCCTCCACAGCCGCATGTATGCCATCATTTTAGTAATGTCTGCCATGCCATTTTCCCCATCTGCCAGGGAAATTTGAGCACTTCCTGGACTTCTGTATGTCATTAAGTTGATAAGGCAGCTGGGTCTTTTGTCATGTGGTCATAAGCTGTATTTGATTATCGAACCCCTTGTTTTTTTAAATTAAGTTTAGCTGTGGTCCTTTTTAACATCTGGGGGTTTCTGCCATTTAAAAAAAAGCCATGCGGGAGATTCTTTAGGTCTCCTCGCAATTCAATTAGGACTTCCTCCACTATTCATCGCCAGCCACAAAAATCGATTCTTTCCGAAGCTGTCAAGCCATCTGCGGCCTGATTGCGGGCTGCAGCGGCTCTGAGAATACAGCCCTGTCCACACCGCCTCGTCGGCTTGGTGTCATCATCGGCTAAATACGTGGGCTGCTAAATTGAGCGATTTTATACAGGAGAGTTTCAGATGCTGATGGAAGCGTCGGCCCTGCATTTTCTGTGCCATCATTCCATCGGGGAAACAGAGTATAGGGGGAGAACATTCTGATAAACAGTTGTACGTCTACTGCAGGTCCGTCACATGACTTTGGGTATGAGTCATAGTTAGGCCCTGCTGTCGTCACTACTGACATCGTGTCCTAGCTACCTCCACCTGCTCTCTGCAGTGACATCCCAGCGGGAAAGCTCTCTCCACACCTGCCCCCCCTTGGCTGTGCTCTACTCTCCTCTTCTCTCTGGCCAGCTTGCACTAACCCTCCCCCCCCCCCCCCCCCCCCCCCCCCCCCCCCCCCCCCCCCCATGGGCTTGCATGGCGGCCCCCGGGCCACGCGACTGTTCCTCCTCCTCCTTCTCTGTGATTCAGGTGCTCACTCTCTCCTTCCAGGTTCTGCCGGCTCTTTTAACATGTCAAATTCCGGCGATTTGTTCATGAGCGTGCAGTCACTCAATGGGGACTCCTACCAAGGGGCCCAGGTTGGAGCCAACGTGCAGTCACAGGTATGGAGCTGCTCTCACAAGCAGGACCCACGCACGGTGTGGCCCACCCCTCCCCTGCCCTGAGGGCCCACTGCCCTGAGGGCTTCTGGTACCAGGGCAAACATTTTACTTGAATGTTGGCAATGTTGGGACTTCTCAGTTGTCCCCACCTTTGACCTCCACACCAGCTGCACCCTAAAAGTACAGCATTGATCTGGCTTTCCAGGTGGAGTTAGATAAGCTAGGGACAGATTATACAATATGCTCTGTGAGTGTTATCAGCAAATGGCTCCATATTGTGCAGTAAACTGTGAGTAGCGGCTACGGCTGCAACACTTTGAATCTTCTTCCCTGTTCTGGTTTGGCTCCTGTTTTTTGGGTTACTTATGTATAGTATTTTGGGGGGGGAGTCCACGTCCTCCATCACTGTGGATCTTCCTAATTAGCATTTTGGAATGAATTTATATATATATATATATATATATATATATATATATATATAAAAAATTAGTATTTCTGTAATTTCTGTTCTGCATTATTTACAGTTTCATTCAGTTGGTCTGATTCTGTAGAAATGTATTGTAGAGCTCTGTGTTGCACAGGGGCATTTTGCTTACACTGCTTTGCCATTTTAAACAGCACTGGATGTTGTACTGGTTTTCATTTTAAACATCATTAAGGCTGTCTGAGCCAGCACTCTGTTACTCCATCGTCACCTTCGCAATAAATGACCACAGACAGTTTTGGAAGCGGCTCAACGTGTGTCTGTGTTTCTGACTTGTATGTCACGGTCTCTTATCCGCTGCTGGCGTTTGACCTTGCCGACATGTCGCAGTAAAGCTACTTTTCTGTGTTGTTCCTCAAAGAGAGGCACGTTATTTCCCTCATAGCGATGTTTGTTTACGTTCCCCCTCAGTCTGATTTAACTGATGCTGTGGGGTGTTTCATGAATATGCAAACGACCGGCCTGAGGGTCAGCTTCGAGTTCCACTGGACTGATCCTTTGGCAGTTCAAATGTCCTTGCATCTGTTTTTGAAGAACTAAATTTTAATGTCTCTCATGCATGCTAACGAGCTTTGCTGGGACCGTGTGATTACAGCAGAGCAGTCGTGCGTCATTTTACATGGTGGCTTTCAGTTCGGCTTCCGTAACGCTGAAGTAGGATGGCACTGGTTCCTGGATGTTTCTGTGCTGATCGCTGGGTGACCTTTCCAGCGTGTGCAGCAGCCTTCTGCTCTTTATATGCTGCAGAGCGTCGCCTGACTGGCCTTTGTCTGTGTTTTCTTGTGTTTTAGGTGGATACCCTTCGCCATGTTATCAGTCAGACAGGAGGATACAGTGACGGACTTGCAGCGAGCCAGATGTACAGTCCACAGGGCATCAACGTAAGGAAAATAGCTCCTTTTTTTAAATACTCCCTTCCCCTACCAATTATTTCAAAGCCATAGGGCTCGGAATGCCACTTAGTAGGACGCGTCTTGGCTTCACGGTCACCTAGCTGATTGTCCATGTATCGGTCACGCCGCTGGCAGAGCTCTGCCCACGAGAGGCGCGGTGCTGGGCAGGCTCCACGCAGGCAGCTGGCGTCTTAGCCTGTCAGGGCCCATCAGCGTTTGCGTTGGCACCTGCGGCCACTGGCTCCCCGCCGTGAGGATCCATAAAACAGGTGACACCTAGGACAGCCACTAGTTCGGGATGTCACCGAGTACTGGGCCTGGGTTCTCTATCGGAGGACCGAGCGCCTTTCCGAACAGACTGTTCTGAATCGAGCTCTGGGTCCGCCTAAAAATAAATCTGCTAGCCAGTGAAAAGCAACGGCGCTCCCTGCGTGGCTTTTTGGGGGATGCCGGCGGCTGAGGCTGCCATGGAAATTTGCAGCGACAGGCTGTGTCGTATGAAGGAAAATCGATAAGACAGTCACAAGAGAAGCCGAGTGTAGATTCGGGACAGCGATCCAAGCGCATTGGTCAGATCACACGTTCGCCATCGTAATGGCGCTGACAGCAAGCCGCAATGCGAGGATGTGTTTCCGGAGCCTGTCCCCTGCTTGCGTCCGCCTGGTAATGAAAAGAAACCCACCCAGTTGAAGCGTATGCAGCGGGATGCTTTCCGAGGCAGTGCTGTCCCTCAGAGGTCATAGGAGAGCCCTCCCCAGAGAGAGCGCTCCCCAGAGAGAGCGCTCCCCAGAGAGAGCCCTCCCCAGAGAGAGCCCTCCCCAGAGAGAGCCCTCCCCAGAGAGAGCGCTCCCCAGAGCCGTCCGGCTGCAGCCCACACTGAATGCTAACACGTGCTGAGCCTTTATTTCGAAAAGCAACTGCTATAGTCACCTCCGCACATGAAAATGGTGCAACTCATTAAAAGCATTTATATAATTTAAAACATTACATTTCAATTACTATTAAACAAATTGATTTATGATTAAAATATTTTATTTATTTTTAAATAATTAATATGCTAACCATTGCTGATAATTACAAAATGTGTTAGGGTCCCCTTTAGAATTGTGAATATGAAATGTTCATTTTGAAGTTCTGCTTCTCGGATATGTTTTAATTAGCACTTGTGTGTTGGCAGCATGCGCTCACACGCCCCGCTGCAGCGGCCTGGGGTAGCACGGGACTGGGGTGGCTTACCTCAGAGTGACGACAGCCTTAACATGGCCAGGCTGAAAATGTACCCCTTAGGGTGATCCTTAGCTATGAGTCAAATTTAAAAATTTAAATACAATCACCTTTTAATCTTGTCATGCATTTTAAGAATGTGTTCCTGGCAAAATGTTGCTCAAGATTAAGCAGTGGTGGCTTCATGGTTTGGGATGAGCACCTGAAATTGAAAGATTGCAAGTTCGAATCTCCAACCGCCAAGGTACTACCTCCTGCTATGTCACGATGTCACATATGGGTTAAATGCAGAAGACACATTTCATTGTTGCGCACTGTGTGTGTCAACGCTGATCGCTAAATTATTCTTAATTCTAAAGTCTGTAACTGTAAATATACTACAGTTCAGCCAAACTTACAGGAGTTTGACACCATGATCAACCATACTCAAGCTGGCTAGTCAGTGGGTAATAATGTCTCATTCATGCCAAACCATCACGTGGCACATTCACGCATATAAGCAATTTGGCAACCTGGAGGAAACCCCACAATTGCACTGGGAGATTATGTGAATTCCACACATGGATCCGTGGCAGGGACTTGAACCCAGGTCCCTGTGATGTGAGGCAAAAGAGCAAACCACTAGACCACCGTGTCACTTACATACTACTGCCTTTCTTACCATTTGGTAAATTAAACTTTTTTTTCTTAATTAAAAAAAAAAACAAAAAAAAAAAACCCAGAATCATTTGACCAAATGAAACACCTTGTAAAAATGTGAAGTTAAGAACAATGAAAGGTATTTAAAAAAGTTCTTTTTGCGTGGTAGCTGTCTGAAGTTTTTAAATAATGATGTTTTTCATGGCCTATTTTTAATTTAAATGAGCCACACGTGGGTGATATGGTGGAGCACTATTGCCTCTCACCCCGGGGACCAGAGTTACATGTGTTTGCATGTTCTCCCCGTGTGGCCGTGGCCTTTTCTCTGGTGTCCCCCACAGTCCAAAAACATGCTGAGGTTAATTGGAGCTGCCATATTGTGTGTGTATGTGCGCTCACCCTGTGACGGGCTGGTGCCCCATCCTGGGCTGTTTCCTGCCTTGCAGCTGTAGGGTCCAGATCCCTGGGTCCCTGAATAGGAAAAGTGGTTACAGAATGTGGTGGATGAATCGAATATTTTTTAACATGGTTATAGCAATCAAGAAAATAAAATACAATGAAATACAGAAAAACTACAATCGATTGAATGACCTGAGAGATTAATGAGTGTTACCCATGCTGGAGGACTGAACTAGGCTTAAGCCATTCAAGCTGCTTGAGCAACCATCAAAAAAAACCCTGAAATGTTTTCATGTATAAGATGATAAATTTAGGAAGGTGAGCATTCCTGTTAAGGCTCTTCCCCTATTTTCCCTCTTCTCCTTTAACATTGATCATTCCCTTAAATGAATATGTATTTCTGATAGTGATTTTCTTTTGATAACTGGGGATGTGAATGAGCACCACTATAATGGACAGACTGTGGTGTTACTGTCGTGTTTACGCGACATTCGAGGGGGTGGAAGGGGGGGGGGTCACAGACTGGCAGAGTGCCTGTTCTTATAATTCCTCTCACCCTGTTGCTGGTAATGACCAAGCAAACACACAAAGCATTTATGTGGAGAACTGTTCATTCTCTGTCTAAGAACAATAATTATGGCCTCGAAATAGACGTAGTGTGTCACAAACGCTGAAGATTTCAAAAAGTTTTTCCCCCCTCTTTTTCCACTCTTTTTTTGATTACAGACTGCCTCCATCTTAAATAACAGGCTTTGAAATAAGAGCCTGCCACAGACCATTTTCAGCCCTTTCTGATGGCATGGAAATTGCTATTAATGTCTCAAATGCTCTTTAGCAGGCCTGTCGCAGGGATTTGAAATGGCTTCCATGTCTCCCATTATATATTCATTCCAATCTCCAATGTGATAATTTGCTATAATTGATTCTTCCATTGCCTGTCTTGAGTTTTTTTTCCCAGAGAGCACTGGATACATTCTCAATATTATAATTTGTGTTTATTGTCTCTCATGTAAATCACTTTCTGACAGCGCCGCTAAATGCCTTTTTAATTCGGCTTGCTTCGCCTTGCACGTTCAAAGAGGCGCTGAACGTCTCTTTTTGGTTTTGATCTCAAAATGGGCAGTGTTTAATTATTTAGTCTGAGAATAGCGGCATGGCTTTTACCTTACACACCACGCTGACGCGCTACTTCAATCCACAGGCAAACGGTGGCTGGCAGGACGCCACAACCCCCTCATCAGTGACTTCGCCCACAGAGGGCCCTGGGAGCGTCCACTCTGACACCTCCAACTGATCCATCCCTCTGCCACACAACCCCACCACAGCAACTACAGAGCCTCTGCCTTTTCCAGCAACACCATTCAGAACGGAGGTCAACTGCCCGTTATTACACAAAAAGGTTTTATGTTTCCCCTTAGAAGGGAATCCTTAAAAAGAAAAAAAAATTAAAAAGGCGACTGACAGCACTGATGTTGCTGGTCTCTGAGTAGATACACCTGCTACTCTGAAATATCTGGAAATCAAAATATGAGTTTTTCACCAAATCCAACATTTGTACAGTTTAATGTGCGATTCGGGTTAACTCCCTGTAATTATTAGTCATAAAATAACTACTTACAACTATTTAAAAAAAGCCTTCGTAATTTGTAAAAGCAAACCCCTGTTTCTATTGCTTCACACTACCTCTCAGCGAAAAACAACATAAAAATGTACAAAAACCATAGACTTTCATTTCCCAAAACAAGTAGACGACCACCATTGTTCTTCCAGATGGTTAGACTCTAAAGGACATCCTGTATTTATCTTAGGCCACATTCTTCAGCCCCAGCTGTTCTTTCTGTCAAAGTCTTTACTTTGTTCATTCCGAAAAGAGCCAAACAAGGAAAGCGGAGTGTCAATTTGCCGTTAGGCTGGAGAGCAAACGGACTGGAAGTGATGATCCATTTTGCACGAGCTTACCACTGATGGTGTGACACAAAGACTCGCAGAAGTTCACAATGACAATGGAGGAACGGCTGACTAATGTAAAACTCCAAGGGAACGAGTCCTATGTCTCTCCCAGCCCTTAAATGTCATAAGAACTCATAGTAGCTTCAGCATACAGTGTAATTAGTATGTCTGGTGATGGTTTTTTCATTCAATTCATGACTCATGTTCTGCTGTCTTGTGTAGTTGGCTTAAGGTTAACATGCATATGTTTCGAGGAGGTTATAGCCCAGGGCCACTAAAACAATCGATGCAACATGCCATCAAATAGATGCTTCCCTGCAAACTCACTCCTTTTGTTATTGTTAAGCAGATTCAGCCTCCAATTATTACAACTGAGTGGGTTCCCAAGACTGGAAAGGCCACAGCTAGTCAAGTAACCCAGCAACGGAGCAGGCTGTACCTATCCACTGCAGTTACAGAAAAATATTTTGACACATACTCACACACTACACATAAGATGTATCATCGTAACCAAATGCTGCTGTTAACCAAAACACTTAGTGTAGTAAGTGCATAAGAGAATGAGTCGGACTTTGACCTGTATTAAAAAAAAACCATTTTTTTTAAGCTCTACAGAAATATGATCATTTAAATACATAGTGTGTTTACTGTGTCATTGATTAAAATTAACCCTGTATTGCCCCACCACACCGTTGGTGCTAAATATGTATATAATAAATCAGATACATCCCCTAGATGATTAAAAATGGTTTTGTCCAAAAATTCAATTGAACACCAATTAAAGTATATTTATATATGACAAGGGTCTCAGTAACTGAGTTTGTTTTTCAGTGCTTTAAATCACATCTTGGCAGAATCTACTTATAATGTGGAAGTCATTAAGATAATATGATTTAGACATTTCTACAGTTAATTCCAGTTCTGCCCATTCAGGTAATACCAGGACTGTGCCATTAAACACGCCTCTTATCAAATTATTTTTTTAAAGGAAAAGAAGACCCAGAAGCTGAAGTAGATTAGGTCAACCAGCATAAACACCATTGTCTAACTGTGGCAAATGTAGTATGCAATAGACATTGCTGTTATTTCCATCAGCTACGCAGAGAAATCCAAAATGTGAAATTTGTCGTTTTAGTTCTGCTTCATTGCCCCCGTGGTTATACTGCGTTTTATGTTCCTATGTGGTGCCCCGTCTCTCTGACCATCCCGCACTGGCCCAAAAAAGTCTGTCTGTCACCAGCCTAACTGGCAGCTTGCACCTGCAAACTCACTCTTCCTGTCATCTTAATGCTGACAAACATTTATGAATGTTCTGGTTATTTTCAGAACCAAACAGCAGTCACAATTTCATTAGCATTTTTAGAAGACAAAAAGCATTCATGCTTACAGCACAGAAATTCAGAATATGTGTAGGTGTATTTTTGTGAGTCCTTACGCTATGGGCGACAACACATCTCATCTTTAATGTTCTGTTTTTGCTTTGTTACAGCACAGGAGTTTCCATTTCCCTTGTACTCATATGTGAACTTGTGCAAGAAGCTCTATATAAATGTAGACGTGCACCTTTATTTAGGGTTTGTTTTGTTGGAAAGGGACAGTATCCATTTTCATACAAAATGCAGCTAAATATTTTACAGGAGTTTAGAGATTGGGGATGGGGAGAGACACATTAGGGACAAGATTCACTGGGGATTTTCTTTATATGTGAAGTGCGAACAAAATGTATCTATGATTACAAAGGATACTGTCTTGTTAAGGTGATGTGAACATTTTATTTCTGCAATTAATTTCTAACAGCCAAATCCCCATCAGAAAACCCCCCCCACAGTCTGAGAAAGGGCAGTGACATCTGGCGTTACAGGTGGCATGCTGAAATACAGCTATTGAGAGCTAAAATGAGAAGAGCGCTCAACTGCTGCTGATGATTGACAGTTCTAAAAATGTATATATTTTTATACGCCATTTAGATTTGAATGCATCCTGTAGGATTCAGTAAAATTATACACTCGGAGAAAAAGTCCTCCGGAAACACTTGTACCATTGAATCTTTTATCTCTAAATAGCTGTATTTACAATTAGAATGTTTTAATTGTTCGGCGAAGTTGCAGCATCGTTAGCTGCAGTCATTGTTTTGGAGTGGCAGGCTCCTTTTTCCATTTTCATCTCATGGGTTTTGAAGGATCGGTATTTGTGGAAGCCATTAGACCCCGCTTTGAGATTATGTTGCTCAGTTATCTACCCTTGCCTTGCCCCACCCAGCCCAGCCCAGCCCAGCCCAGCCCCCAGGAGGATGAAAGGGTAAATTCTATTTCAGCGACTCAGTCTGCTCAGAGACCCTGAGGCACGGCCCCTCGTTTTTAAATGTTCTTTTCACATTGCCTGTCCAGTACCACGGTATTATTAAAAGCCTCATGTAATGACGCTTTCAGATTTTGCAAAAAAAAACAAAAAAAAAAACAAAAAAACAAAACAAAAAAAATAAATACAAAAAAACACAAAACAAAAAACCTATTAAAAAAAGCTGAGCAATTTGTAAAACATCAAATGTTTTCTTTGTTGCATGTCTTTCGTTCTTTAATAAAATACTGCAGTGTTTTTGAATGTTTCTTCCTTTTTGTTGTTTTTTTTTATTAAAAGATTTCAGAGTGTGAAATCACTGAGCCTGCCTCTGGCCCAGGTCCAACCTTTAACCTCTGCATATGTAAAAAGGTATACAAATGGAAACACAGTGTCTTTTTAATTCCAACCTAAAACTTGTGTTCTGTGGAGAAGACAAAAAAAACTAACAAGGTGTAGGTTTTACGGTCTATTAATTTGTACTGGTAATGCATATTCCAAATAAATAGTTTCTTTTGTTCCACACTGGTGTGTTATCACTGAATTGAATTAATTTCTTGCATTTTTATGAGCAGTGCTTGATTGAAGCTGCACAACACATTACAGAAGCTGCTTTTGACACAGTGTGCTGTGCATATTAATTCTCCAGTTAGCACTGTTTTAATGAACCCTAAACAAGCATGACACAAACCCACAGCCCTGTACTTTGGCTTGGAAAATTTTGTAAATTTGGGGGATGGGGAAGCAAATCATGTGACATGTTAGCATACAGTGACTTATATTCAGTAGCAATGGAGAGGCATTCTCCAGCAAAAGATAATAGATTAACTAAGCACATACACACAAAGGTCTTGCCAAACTATGGCCTCGAGTAAGAGGTGGGTTTTCAAGAGGGTGTGTGGGGCCTGGTCACATGGTCTGGTAGGGTCTCCAGGCAGGCAAGATGGACCTTTTACCACATGACAAAAAAACGCCACAGTGTACGACCACAGTCACATGTGCTTCACTCACACTCTGCAGATTCCCTTCATTACACGCATCTGATATTATCTCATCCTGGGTTCTTTCAAATGCTTCACAAAGCTGACATATTTACGTCATGTCTCTCCCAGTAGATCAGGAAAGAATAACATTACAGTGTAACAATAAATAATAATTACAATTGTTAAATAAATGGCCTTCCCCTGCCCTGCAATAGGTCGGCACCCCATCCTGGGTTGTTCCCTGCCTTGCGTCTGTAGCCTCTGGGATAGGCTCCGGACCCCCCCGTGAACCCGAGTAGGATAAATGGTTACAAAAAATGAATGGATGGATAGATGGATGTATAGCCTTCCCCCCCTCTTGTCCTAAAGAGGACCTCTATCTACTGTGGCTATCTGTGGTATAGATGCTCAAACATGCATAAACACTGAGAGGCCCTGACAGCTTTGCCGAATGATCGTCCCGATTTTTGGGTCAAGGGCAGGATGCGTAGAACAGAGTGCTTGACAACCGCCACCTCTCACCTCGCACAGCACGCCAGCGATGTCGACGTGTTGCGTTTTAGCTTCTGGTGCTGCGGCACTGAGTGTTGAGCAGGAAGGGGAGGTGATGGGGGGTGGTTCGCACCCTTCTCAGAGTGAGGAGGCCGGGGGCATTGGGACACCGGTCCCTCCCAGGCACGATTTATGAGCAGACGCAATAGAATGCGGGGAAGGGCTCTTACTTATCTCCCTCAGCAGATAAATGGGGGGGTGGGGATTTCTGATTTTGTTCTACCAACTGAGCTCACTTCAGAACTCTGAAGGGGAAGGGAATGTGGGGCGAAAAAAAAAAAAAAAAGCGTCGGCATTAGGAATGCTTTCTGAATGTTTTAAGGATAGAAATCACAGGGCATGACAAAGCCTGTGGGAGTGACAACGTGATCAAATACAATTACGTGGGAAAGCCGTCTTGTTGCTATCAAAGGCATTTACTTCAGCTCTGACACATGAAAGAGGCAAACTGCTGGATGTGTGCTTCTAATGTATTTTAATCATTATAGTCATTCTTCTTCCTACTTAATGTGACTCCATGGGGTCTGCGGCTCTTCTCCCCAGGTAACCTCTTCATTTCCCTCATTTCCTCCGGAGCTCTTCCCCACATTCCTATTGCTCTTTGCTCTGCTTGCATTTCAGCACACGGTCGACCCCCCCCCCCCCCCCCCCAACTGCCCCAAATAATTCCTCGTTGCACGGCCCACGTTACTTAGCCGCTTAGGAATGCGGCCCTGTTTCCGATCGACGCACCGCTGGCGTACCCAAAAGGCGGCGTGCGACGTGTTCCTGTCTACCCTGCAGCCAGCACGGTGTGGCAGGGCACGGACGAGGGCTCCCTCCGAGAGTGATCTGACATTTCCGCGGCTCCCCTAACACGCTATTTGGCAGTCGGCACCTCGCGAGGGATGACCCACGAGACAAAGTCTTCTGTGGTATCCGCTGGTTCAGGAGCTTCCCAGGAAAAGGTCAGCCGGTGTGGGAGAGGCGTGCAGAAAGCGGATTAAGTGAGATGGGTAATAAACATCACTGCTTTAGACTGAATTTGATGGCCACTATTTAAACTCCCAGTGGTCATATTTTTCATTCCCTGCAATCAAGATTGTTTGAAAGCAAATCCTGTACATGACCTCTGCAAGAGTGGGGTGGACATGCCCAGTTTTTTCTATGTGAATAAAAGAAAAAACAAAACAAAACTGACCTTCGTTTTAGACTTAAGAAGTGACTGAAAAGAGCAGTGCGGTTTAGAGCACGTCGAGGAGCCCTCGCCCCTTCCACACGTGAGCTGAATAATTACCACACAAGTGGAGAACATCCAGGCCCAAGCCGCTTTAATTCTAGCTACCGGATCCCCAGCCGGGCCTCATGCTTATTATTCCAGCACACATCTGACCTTTCGCTTCGCAGGGAGCCGCGTCAGTATCTGCAGCTTCCAGGCCGTGCTGAGGCTGTGCTTGTATCTGCCCCTCGCAGGAGATCACGAAATCCCCGTGCCGCCAGGACCAAAACGACACTTTCTAAAGCTGGCCCAGTTATCAGCTACCCACACGCTCCATCTAATACCAGTCAAATATCATTCTGCTCCCAGCTGTTTCATTCAAATAAATGTGCATCTGTTTTTCACCCAGCGCTGGGGGTGTGGGACATGCGGGGCTGCAGTCTCAGGTGGAAATGCTCTCATTTATATGCATCTGTGAAGCAAAAAACAGCTTAAACACAGAGCTTCATTCTGGGCCTACCGCAGTATTATCCTAAGCTAAATGGGGGCATTTACATAGACAATAACTTCTGGCTTAAAACAACAGAGCCAACATGATGTTTACTGCCTCCAGCCTGGACTAGGCTGGTTTCCCTCCTGAGGCAAGAGAGCAGAGCAAAGTGGAGGTCGAGGGGCTTAATAGTGGCGCAGACCGGGTATCGTAAATGCCCCAGACACCCATGTGACGCAAGCCAAGGCCACTGTGTGACAGCTGAATGAGACGTGGCTCATGTCAGGGTTTCTCCAACAAACTAACAGCCAATATCTGGAGGAACAATGAGCAGCAGGAGTAGATGAGCAGCGCCTCGGAGCAGCGACGCCGCCTAGATCATGGCCTCCTGCATGCTTTAATGCTCTGTTCTTTCCTGGTTGAGTCTGGAGGAAAATGACAACTATTACGACAAGTACTGAGTGAAACGGGGGGGGTACCAAAGGGCAGAGGCCTCGCAAATGTATAACAGCATTCTGCAGCTGATCCATGCTCAAGGGAGCAGCTCTTGAGCTATAATTACACCCAGTGCGGGATGGAGTTAATTGCAGCAGTTGCTGATGTCTCTGGAGTCCTCTGGACCTGGAAGTGGACCAAGCCGGCAGCAGCGCCCAGTCCAGCGGGAGAGGCACCGCAGAGGCAGTGGCAGCAGCTGGGCGGGGTCGGCCCAGGGGGGCGGGGCCATGCCCCCAGGCTGAGCATATGAGACTGGCGCAGTGAGCGAGTCGGATAATGGAGATTTACATTTGGGTAAGAGCCTCACAGTGATGCTGCTTCCCACAGCAGGACATCAGGCACTATTCTTAACAGGCCTATGTAAAAAGACTTGTTTAAAAACTCACATGCAAAGATTAATTTTGCTTTGCAGACACGATTAAATGTCTCTGCACCACAAATCTGTAAATACTTCTGAAATTCAGGAAATGTTCACTTCACGTGTGGGTGTGTGCGCGCAATGCGTACAATGTGTTTACCACGTTTGCCTAAAGCTTTTTTCTTGTCTTTTTAATGAGCCAGATATGGACCCCCCCCCACACAGACACATGCACCAATGCAAATAACCTTGGACTGAAAAAACAGGGCCCCGAGATGGTTTCGCTGAGAGTGAGTAGCACGTTCCCGCCTTATCTCTGTGGAACACAAATCCTAAAAATCGCTGGAAATGTGTACATGTCGAAACAAAAACGTGCGCTGTTTCATGGATTACCTTGGCAAAAACTACAAAGGATACCGGAAGCACATATCCATGTAGTTAATTTTAGCTTTGTTGCCTCCTTGTTGATGCCAGGAGTTATCACTATGTGCCATCGTAATGCTTTCTCCAGAGCTGTGGAGCGTGTCCACGTACTCAGGGAAGGAAGTGAGATCGGACCTCAGTGTTATACACAAGCAGATCTGAAGGTCCATAAGGGGGTGAGTCAGTTACCTGGAAGAGGTCAAATAACACAGAGGGAATCTGTGGGGACCTCCTGTAAAATTTATAGCAGGGCATGCTCCTCATCCGTTTGTGCTTTCATCCATTCCATGCCCTTACAGGGGGTGTACTGCAAGGTTCACCTGTGTGTGCAGATAGACCACACACACACACACACACACTCCTGTTTGTGTGTGCGTGTGTGTATCCTGGTGCACCCGCTCCCGGGCCGGAGTCCTACATAACAGCATTGCTTGTCAGGCCAGGATTCCATGCTAACCCCTACGCCAAGTGCCCCAAACCACAAGTACAGAAATGCTTTCTGCTCTAACCAGCTTTATTTGGGGAGAGCTTGGCCTGATTAAAACTGAAAGAAACATCTCCCCTAGAAAACGCGCCCCCAGTCCCATCTGACAGCCCTCCAGACGGAGCTGTGTTTACCCAGCGCCTCTCCCCACACTAGAGCGCCTGCAAAGATGCTAAGACGCGAATGGAGCTAACAAGGGCGTCACGCACAGCTTGTGGCATGGAGCACAGGCAGCCATAATCACCCGCGCAGCACACTTCCTGACCTATCTTTCGGAAAATTTGT